CCTAGCTGTTGGCCTGTCTGCCAGTCTGTCTGGCAGACCTCCATGGATGTGCAGCTTTCCTTGCCTCAGCCTAGCAGCTCTCCCCCCACGTCTGCCTCACCTAATCTTCAAAGCTGAGCTCCTGCTCACAATAGCTTCACCGTGGCCATACCCATTAGCGATGGGGGTGTTCCCCTAATGAGCTACTCCCCTGCCTTGGCTGGCGCCGGGCTAGCCACACCTGTTTGCCATCAGGGCTGTCTCGGGCCGAGCCAGTGTGGCTCAGTTGCAGGTGGTAGAGCTGAATGAGGGGTGGGGTGGGGAAGGCTGGCTCCTTTTGCTTTGTGCTGTGTGCTTATGGGGGTGAGGGGCAGTTTCTTACACCCCCGTTTCCTCTATATTGTTCTCTTCTTTCTAAGCGGGGGGAATGCTCTTTGCTTTCTTTTCGTTATTCAAAAGGAGTAATAAAGGAACTTGAGTATCTTGTCTCTTCTAATTTTCCCCTGGATGGAGTAGAGAGGATCTGGCTAGGGTCTGAGGGTAGGGTTTGTTCATCTGTTCTGGTGACCCTGAGGGGCTAATGTGGTGATAGCAGGTCACATGATAAATGCCAAGGGTGGACCACCTTTCTGGCCTTAGACCCGTAGTCTTTGGAAAGCAATCATGTCCCTTGAGCCCACAGGCAGGATTGGGGGACCCTTCCTTAAAGAGGCCTCTTGCATTCATGAAACTGAAGGAACTTTTGATTTGGTTGAAAAAAATCTCATTCCTTTTTATGGCCTGGACATAATTGGCTCTTTTCTATTGGCCATCAGTGATGTCATTCCGGCCTCATAAAGAAGGGGAAATCACACCTGTGGACTCGGTGCATAAAATTTCATTGGGCAGCAGTAATAAGCATGACCAGATGATGTTTGGGCAGTTGGGTTGCTTTGTGCCCAGTGAATCCAGCTGCATGGAGACCTGGGCACCATAAACTTGCCTGCACATTCATGCCCGCAGGCTAGTCCAGGGCCCACTGCCAGTGGCTGTTTTCTTGGAATCAAGATCTGGTAGGAATGTACAGCATTCAGACCTTTTGTCCCCGGGGCACTTTTTTTTTTTTTGACAGTTTGGTGGAACCATGTACCCACTGATACCCACTGACCTTAGGCGCTTAAGAACCTTGAACCCAGGCGTGGCCTTGAGCAGTGACCACTATGCTACATGCTTCTCTAAGGCCCCAGGCTTTGCCTTCCCAGGGACTGTAGAGAACCCTGAGTGTATCTATACAGCTTATGCCTGTGCAGTCAGAAGCTTTGGGTTCCATTTCTAGTACGACCCTTGGCTTGTTGTTTGAGCAAATCCTTTTCTTCTCTGAGCCTCAGTTTCCTCTTTTGTGTAAGGGATGATGACCACTGTAACCCACCTTCCTCACAGATTTTCTGTCTTGATCCTCTCTAAGCTGGGGTAGGGTGTGTGATAGAGATATGTAGCTGTCTTCCCATGAAGCACCTGCGAGCTCAAATTCTGGCATTTGGTCCTATGTCTCTCATGAAGATGGGGCTGGGCCCTGCCACATTTGTATGGCTTGTGTCTTGGAGTCATAGGGCTAGGACCACCCAGAGGACTACTCAGCAACCTGAATCCCTGTGAGTGAATCTGCAAACTGCGTGTGTACCTGCAAGTCGCTAGAGCCCCTGAGAGTTATAGTGCCTAACCCCCATGTGCATCAGTCAGACATGGAATTCAGAATGACACTCAGGACTGCTGCTGAGCCATATCTCAGGCTGAGTATCCAACCTGACAGTCTGGTCTGTCCTCAGAGTGGCCCCTCTGGGATAGGTCTTCCTCTGAGAAGGATAGGTATGATCCCACTGACCTAGACCCTTCCTAGACAGTGGAAATGTCTACAGCTGTGTCTTCCCTTAAAATTCTGCTAAAGAGAGAGCCCCTTCTTCTCCCAGGGCTAGCCAGAGCCAAAAGGACTGCTGGCCTGTGTCAACTAAAAGAGAGTGCTGCAGCTGGCTAGGGGAGAATAAGATTGAGGCTCCCTGCCTTTTGCTGGCCAGTCCCCCTGACTTATTCCCTTTGTAGATTCTGCTGCTTCTGGTGGCCCCCTTCACTCATAGACCTTAATGTGATTTTTCTAAAATAGCTGAGTTCAGCAAGGATTTTCACAAATACCAAGGATAAAGAACATGAAAGAAAGATTGAAGGAAATAGAATTATTGTCAGATTACAGTTCTGCTTTTTAGGCAACCACATTCTAGCTCCTAAGGCTACCTTTCATCCTTAAAAACCTTGCCTTATTTCCTCATGTTCTGGGTCCTTCATCCCACATGGGCACATCTGTCTGGATACCCCTTCATCATCTTGGCCTCAGCCAGAATTTCCCTTCCGGGAAACTGACCAGTTGTAGTTAATGTCACTGTGCCACTTGGATGTTTGAGAGTAACCTGTTCTTCAGGTGAGATATCTTGGGTCTTATAAAAGTAAATCCTTACTATACACTGCCTGAAACAAGGGGATCAATTTTCTATTAGTATCTGTCAAATATTTGAAGGGTAATGGAGGGAAGGCTGGACGGCCTTGAACTTTCTGGAGTGGAATCAGTCATCTTAACTGGATTCTTGTAGCCAAACTTTCTAGAAAAGGATTTTGCACTTGTAATCTCCACTGTCTTATCTCTCACTCTTTCCACACTTTGCAGGTGCCTTCCGCCTCCCACACTCAGCCCACTGATCCCCCTTTCACGAAGATTATTTGTGACCTTCTCGTTACTAAATCCATTGGGTTTTTCCCAACTGTCATCTTGCTTGACCACTCTATGGCAGTTGACACTAATGACTTACATTTCAAACTCAAAAATCAGTTCTATATATTCCAGAAAGGGGAAGCACGCTTTTATCACAGTTTAGATTGACCACAGGTAATGTGAAGTGAGGTCAAAAGAGCATGTCTGACTTTAGGTGTCTAATACTCTGAGAAAGGTCTGGGGCCTTGCCCTTTGGGAATGGGGATAGGTTGGGTAAGTCCTGACTCATGGCATATTGTCTCCTGAGGAACTCTTAAAGTTGATAAGGGTATGTGGGTTGGAGAAGGGGACTCTCATGGAAGCTTTCTAGACTCTCAGATCTTGGAAGGGTTCTGTGAGGAAAAGATGGAAGTCTTTTTCTCTGTATTTTCTAAAGACATACTTTGGACCCATGGGTAGATGTTACAGGGAGACAGACTTTAGTATTTAAGGAAGGATGTTCTAAGAATCGAGTCCAAAATTAGATCTGGCCGCTTCATGAAGTGAGGTCCTTGTGTGTGATGATGGTCTGATGGAGGTAACCTGGTTTCATTTTAGCTTAATAAAACTTGCAAGGCATTAGCCTGGGCCCTCTGCTCACCTCACTCTATACTGTTCCCAGGTGATCTGATTTACTCTCCTGGCTTTAATTTTACTTAGGTTATGTGAATGATTACATTAATAATGATATTAATGATTTGGCAATCTGTATTTTTATTCCAGACCTCTCTTCAAAACTGGATATCCAGTTGCCTCTGAGACACCATTTCACTGCCAAGTATCTCCTAGGCACCTCAAACTCAGCAGACATCGAGTGCTTATTGTGTGTCAGGCATATATCTACAACTGCATTCCCAACCTCATGCTTCCTTCTAGTGGCATACTAAAGATGGGGCAGGGGAGCAGTTCCCCCCGAGTTTGGGCAGAAAGTGGGTATGCTACAGGTAGAGCATTTAAAAACCGTAATAAAATTGATCAAATACTGGCTTGCTCCAGATGTCACATAGGCTCTCCATGCCACTGCTTCCTTCTTTGGATCCATCTTAGTGAGCAGCATGAAGCTAGCAAGCAGAGCTCTACTGTTTTCTCACTGGGTCCCACATTTTATTTAGTCACCGGGGCCTCCTTTACATCTTAATGTCTGTTCCTTGATCACCACCTTTACCACTACTGTTTCTCTCTCCTGGCTCCTACCCTGCTCTTTTAGTCTATTATTTTTGCTGCCTCTAGAACAGTCTTGGTAAATCACAACTCATCAGAGGCTCTCCATTGCCTGTGACAAAGCTCTTCTCTTAGGAATAAGACTATGATCTTTCCTGGCTGCTATTTCCAGTATTGTCTTCCTCCATCCTTGCATATGCCCCCACGCTCCAACTTAAGGCTGTTTTTGTCTTTCTTTCATTGCCTGTACCTCTGAACAAACTGAGCCCTTTATGGGCAAGAGTTACATCTTACTTTTTGACTCGTAAGTTCCTGACCCTCGTTAAGCATCAATGCATGTTTGATTGAGTGGATTTGTCTGAGTAAAACAGCATCACCAACTAGAGGGGGAGATAGTTGATAAATTCTAATTTAAAGAAAAAAAACAAGAACAGACCCTTGATTTAAATTCTGACCTCTTCTTATCCTTCTGCCTGGCCTCTTCTCTATCTGAAACAAACCTCTAGCCAGAGGCTTAAATGTGAGCTGAAACCCCTGCTCATCTATCTCTAAATCATATGCTCTGCCTTTCTCTCCTCCTGTCTTGTCTGTCTGCCTCTCTGCTGTAGCAAAACAACAAACCAGTGCATAGAAAGAACATAGGCTTTGGAGTCAGACAGAACTGGGTTCAGTTCTTGGCACTATCATGTTTTAGCTGTGGGACCTTGGGTAACCTCTCTAAATCTCATTTTCTAGTCTGTAAAATGTAGACAACAATACCTATGTCTCAGCATTGCATTGAAGATGAAATGTGAAAATATAAGGTGCTTGGCATACTGTAAGCCATTAGGAAATAGTGGCCTGCTGCTGTTATTTCGAAAAGAGTTTTTGGGCTCTCACACTTGGATCTGAGGGCTAGAGCTGGAGTCCGGTGTCCATGGTGCTGGAGGTGGGGTCCCTTTCTTTGGTGGGGTGGGACTCATGGCTAATGGATTGATCTTTTGAGGTCTGTTTGTCTCATAGGCTCTGTTGGACTTCCTATCTTAAGACTTCATACCTGGGACATGGATGCGCCCAACTTGTTCTCTCTTCCCTTTTTTTGTAGGCTCCCAGGCCAGTGCCAGTACTTGGGCTTGCCAGTGGCGGATTACTTCAAGCAGTGGATTAATCTGAAAAAGGTACTGTGTCTGAGCCCCAATTGGGTGCTTCCCCTGGTGCTCTTGTGCCTCAGAGCTCCTGTCCTTTGCTTTCTTTTATCTGTTCTCCTTCCTTTTCTTTTTGTTCTTCTCTTTTCTTAACCTCTTCCTTTTCCTTAGCTAATATGCACTGAAATGTGGTTATTTCTGACAGTGGAGAGCTGCTTGGGGACCAGGCAGCTGGGCAGATTATGACACTGCCCTAGTTGGTGTCCCCCAGACATGCAGAGAAGTCCCAATTGAGGAGATTTTTGGGGGCTCTTGCTCAGAGCTGAGTCTGTGGGCAGAGCTGCCTTGTCTATAGGAGAGACGTGGCACTAGCTGAGCCTCTGGGAAAGTATTCTCCTTTGTTGTTATCATGAATGTGGCCTCTGACCCTCCTGACTGGTCCTGATATATCACTCTGGTTGGGAGGCAGAGTTCATTTAAGTTGGCTTTGTTCCTGCCTTGCTCCAGGAGAGCCTGGTTCATGTGAGGAAGAGCCATGGAATCTAGAGTCCAGTTCCCTTTGGACATGAGGGCAGAGACTGGAACTCATGTAGCATCAAACATCTGGGGAGCTGATGCTGAGGCTATGGACCGACAAGGACCCTGTGTGGCTAGGATAGTGAGCCCTGGAAGAGAACGAATCACTTAGAAAACTGTACTTTCCTAGCAGAGTATCCCTGCTCTAGAGGGATCCTTGCTCTGGGAGGCCCAGTGCACTAGGGAGACTCACCTCCATAAATCATTCTGATCTAAGGGCAGCAGTCCTGGAGCAGCCTCAGGAGCTTCATGCTACCAGTCAAAGGAAGCTCAGAGAAAAGAGAACACACCAGGGGTCAAGGTAGTGGCTCCCAGGGCGCTTAGAGAAGAGAGAGGTCAAGGAGGGTGAGGCTAGGTATGGCGAGGATTTGAGTCTTGACCTAGGCATTCAAGGAAGGTAGGATATGGATAGGAGGAGAAGAGAATGCTTTCTCGGCAGGGAGGGCAGCATGCTTTTGGTGTGTGTGGGGGCTGGAGCTAAGCAAACATGTGGAGTAGCAGTGGAAGAGAAAGCTTTATAAGTATTTGTCCGACACTGACAATGACCTTGGACTTAGTTCCATACTTTGTGGCATCATTTGTGAAGTCCTTTGCTTTCCACTGGTGGACAGGTGCTTTGCACTTGGCTTGTTTGCAGTTTGACTCCTACCCCCCTTTCCTGGTGATCTCCCACGAAACTGGGCAACTGCTGCTTACTACTCCTCTTATGCTGAAGAAGCTAGGCACTGCCCTAGCTTTGGGCCTTGCCCTATGGCCTGCCTTCTGTCTGAAATGTCCCTCAGTCATCTTCATCGACATATTCCCTGCCCTGGAAGATTCAACTCAGTTATCACTTCTGAGAAGCCCAGCAGTCAGTCTCTTGCCTTGAGGTTCCTTGGCACTTGGGAAATCACTTATCTCAGTTGAAATTGAATCCATGTGTATTTCCTTCCACACATGGCCATCTGGATCACAGAGATGAAGTCTGGTTCCTCTCTGTGTCTCCGGTGACTAGGCCAGGGCTGGGTATAGAGTATGTGCTCAGTGAGTAATTGCTGGCTGACGGATTCATCTTTGAGGACTAGTTCCATAGAGGTCCCCCAAGGCAGAGCTAGGCATGTGGATGGGGCTAGGCGTGTGGGTGTGGCGAGGCATGGACCCTGGAATATAGCATACCGGCTGTCAGAGCACATCTGAGCTGCTTGCTGGCCTCAGCAAATGCAATGTGAAGGCCCGGCCAGGCGAGGCAGGCGCTGACCATGAACAATTACCCTGTGAAGTTCACTAGACTTTTTGGTGTATGGATAGCTCCCTGCCTCCAGGTTCCTTGGCAGAAAGGCAGGAAAGCAGCCAACCCATGTTGTAACGTTGCCACGCAGGGTCACCTTGGTGCTGCTGGCCCAAAGGGTGGGGGTAGAGGCAGGCTGCCCAGAGTCTGTTCAGCTTGGTTTCCCTGCAGACTGTGCTGACCTGAAGAGGAAGGGAATAGATACAAGGGGAAACTGAGGACTCTGTTCCTAGTTAGCCTCGTGATTTCCTTGTGTGAGGTAAGCTGAGCAAGTCTGGGAGAACAAGGGGTCTAACCCCTTCCTCTCTGTACTCTAGCCACTTTGTATTGCAAGGGTGCTTAAAGGCCCGACAGGAGAGATGGCTTAACTCTGGACTTTAGCTCAGTCCTTACCAACAGCCATTCAGGACATAGAGGCTGCTGAGTCCTGGAGGCCCAGGGGCATGGTACTCTTTCTGACCTTTATGCTGTGTGACTTGGTGCAGGCTGCTCTAAGATTCCTGCTTAAAAAGAGTAATGATAAAAGCAAAGCCAGAGAGGTCATTGTCAAGGTTGTAGGAATATTATGTAAAAGCCTTACTCCATGCCTTGTGTCCCCTGTGTGACCCAGGCTCTGGTTCTCTATAGGGTCCTCTCCTGTCCTTGATCTTACTTTGTGTTTCTCCCTTCCCTTTCTTCTCTCCTCGTCCTCCACTCCCCCAGCAGAGCATTACTCCTTGAGAAAGGTGGGGAAGGTCCTGGTCTGCTTGGTCACCTGAGACTTGCCTAGTGAGTGAGCAACTGGGGATGAATTCACCATGCCTATTTCCTAAGACCTCTAATCTGAGAAGAGGCAAAATGTCTTTCAGCTGCCCTTACTTCTCCAGAAATGGTGTGGGTTGCATCAGGAAATAGGCACTTTTCAATGGCCAAGTTTCCACATCTCCCGCTGCCACCTACTTCCCCTGTAGCAGAGTGGAGCAGGCCTGTGTTTGCTGACATTTGGAATGTCACTGAATGATCTTATATTCTTATTGAGCTGTCAGCATAGAGAGGACTTGGGGCCCTGCTCCCAGCTCCCTCCAGGAGATCAGAGCTGTCACTGAGGGGCCAGAAGAATAAACACACACACACACACACACACACACGCACATGCATAAATATACACATGTATATGCATGTGAATGCATACACCCCAAGTGAGTATACTCCAGATTGCATGTCTGTATCCATACATGCGTTCATGTATATGCACATATTCATATAAGCAGTCACCTGCAGAAGTATTTGGAGACATACCCAGACATGAAGGTTTTTATACATATGTATTCATAAGGTATAAAGATATGTGCACACAGGTAAACAGACATATGTATAAAATATATATATCTTCATCAGTAAATGAATATTCTTTTATTTTTTTTGTGAGACGGGGGATGGGTCTCACTCTGTCACGCAGGCTAGAGTGCAGTAGTACAAACACGGCTCACTGCAGCCTTGACCTCCTGGGCTCAGATGATCCTCTCACTTCAGCCTTCCAAGTAGCTGGGACTACAGGTGCCCATCACTATGCCCAGCTAGTTTTTGTATTTTTTGTAGACATGGGGTTTTGCCATGTTGCCCAGGCTGGTCTCAAACTCCTGGGCTCAAACAGTCCGCCCTCTTCAGCCTCCCCAAGTGTTAGGATTGCAGGCATTAGTCACTGTGCCTGGCCAATAAATATTTTGAATGCCTTCTGTGTGCCAGGTACTGTGTGAGGGCCTGGGGATATAAGAAGGTAGATGTTGAATAAATAATTTTAGTTGCATTGAGTAACACTAAACAGTTCAGAGTCATGGATCATATAAGAAGGAACTAACTTAGTAGGGTGGGGTCAGAGAATTGTTCCCTGAGGAAGGATGTCTAAGCTGAGACCTGAAGAGTGAGTTGGAATTGACTAAGCACAAAGTAGCGTGTGACGAGAGACTGAGGTGAGGAGAAGCCTGGCAACTTTATGAAACTAGAATGTAAGTTCTAGGAGGAGAAAGAATTTGTGTCTCTTGTTCACTGCTCTACCGCCATCACTCTGAATAGTTCCTGGCACACAGATGTTTAATCCTTATTTGTTGAGTGAATGAATGCCTAAAACGTAGTGAAGGTGGCAAAAGGAGAGTGGCGTGAGATGAGGCTAGAAGGAAGTCAGGAGCCTATAGACCACACTTTGATTTTGACCTTGATGTTTAGGGTAAGAGGAAGCTATTAAAGGGTGTTAAATATAAGAGGGGTATCATCTGATTTGCATTCTAAGAAAGTTCTCTCTGGCCGTAGTGTAGAAGGAGTTAAGAGCAGATACAGGAGACCAGTTGCTGGTTTTTCTTTATAGGGCTATGGCATTTTTGGGTGGGACAAATCATTGTGTGGGTGACATTGCTGAACTTGTAGCATCCCCAGCCCCTGTTGATTGAATACCAATAGTGCCCCTCTCTGAGTCATTGTGATAATAAAAAATATCACCCCGTATACATTTCTAGTGGCCTGGCCAGGGTGGGAGTGGAGGAATACTGTCCTTGGTTGAGAACCACAGAATTAGGCTGTTTCTGTGGTCCAGGTGAAAGATGGTAATTACTTGGATTGAACTGATAGCAGTGGAAATGTAGAGAAATGGGCCAATTCTTGAGTATTAAATGGTATAGTCGGTTCTGCTATAATGCAACATATATAGATTTCTGAAAATCACTGTGCTAGAGAAAGTCATGCAATAAAAATTCAGTTAGTGACACATAAAAGAAAAGATAGGAATCTAATAAAAATGGTAGCATAGTTTTATACATTAATGCTTAAGAAATACATAAATACCACAATAAATACGGTACTTTACTCTGTAAAACCCCAAAGTTTGCTTATAGAAATGGGCATGAGAAGGGTTACAGCTTGTGAGTTATCGTGAAGTAGTGGAAGAAGATCATCTGAAATCAGATGGAAAATTGTAACCAGATGAATGTGGTCCATAACATGCAGTGATCTAGGTGACTGGTAGATGTTTAAGATGTGTGCATGTATGTGTTTTATATATTCCTACCCAGCCCTTTTCAGTGAGGTATAGTTTCCTGTGTTTATCTAGTGTTTCTTGTGAACAAAATTGCACATAAGCAAATGTAAAATTTGTGTTACTATAAATTGTTCCCAATACATCAGTTGCATTGGACAACTTTGCTCTTTCAACGAGTATTAT